TTTTTTAACCATGACTGTTCTTTATTTGTATGGCTGACGATACTCTGATTTTGAGTTATTGGTAGATTTGTTAGAATATGTTCAAAATGTACAAAAACCCCAAGAGCTATTCATAATAAATATAATACATTTTTATATCTCTATAAATATTCAGTTATTCTGTGATATTTTATCTCTTTGTGAGCTGATGACACTGATTCTGTTTTATTATTAATTATTATTATTAGCTATTTTACAGATTAAGTAACATCCCTTAAGGATATCGTTCCACTGTGTGCATCTCCCGAAGTCTGCACTTGCCTATTAATATTGTTGTGACTTTTAGAAACTGTATATACAGTGGGGCAAAAAAGTATTTAGTCAGCCACCGATTGTGCAAGTTCCCCCACTTAAAATGATGACAGAGGTCAGTAATTTGCACCAGAGGTACACTTCAACTGTGAGAGACAGAATGTGAAAAAAAAATCCATGAATCCACATGGTAGGATTTGTAAAGAATTTATTCGTAAATCAGGGTGGAAAATAAGTATTTGGTCAATAACAAAAATACAACTCAATACTTTGTAACATAACCTTTGTTGGCAATAACAGAGGTCAAACGTTTACTATAGGTCTTTACCAGGTTTGCACACACAGTAGCTGGTATTTTGGCCCATTCCTCCATGCAGATCTTCTCGAGAGCAGTGATGTTTTGGGGCTGTCGCCGAGCAACACGGACTTTCAACTCCCGCCACAGATTTTCTATGGGGTTGAGGTCTGGAGACTGGCTAGGCCACTCCAGGACTTTCAAATGCTTCTTACGGAGCCACTCCTTTGTTGCCCGGGCGGTGTGTTTTGGATCATTGTCATGTTGGAAGACCCAGCCTCGTTTCATCTTCAAAGTTCTCACTGATGGAAGGAGGTTTTGGCTCAAAATCTCACGATACATGGCCCCATTCATTCTGTCCTTAACACGGATCAGTCGTCCTGTCCCCTTGGCAGAAAAACAGCCCCATAGCATGATGTTTCCACCCCCATGCTTCACAGTAGGTATGGTGTTCTTGGGATGCAACTCAGTATTCTTCTTCCTCCAAACACGACGAGTTGAGTTTATACCAAAAAGTTCTACTTTGGTTTCATCTGACCACATGACATTCTCCCAATCCTCTGCTGTATCATCCATGTGCTCTCTGGCAAACTTCAGACGGGCCTGGACATGCACTGGCTTCAGCAGCGGAACACGTCTGGCACTGCGGGATTTGATTCCCTGCCGTTGTAGTGTGTTACTGATGGTGACCTTTGTTACTTTGGTCCCAGCTCTCTGCAGGTCATTCACCAGGTCCCCCCGTGTGGTTCTGGGATCTTTGCTCACCGTTCTCATGATCATTTTGACCCCACGGGATGAGATCTTGCGTGGAGCCCCAGATCGAGGGAGATTATCAGTGGTCTTGTATGTCTTCCATTTTCTGATGATTGCTCCCACAGTTGATTTTTTCACACCAAGCTGCTTGCCTATTGTAGATTCACTCTTCCCAGTCTGGTGCAGGTCTACAATACTTTTCCTGGTGTCCTTCGAAAGCTCTTTGGTCTTGGCCATGGCGGAGTTTGGAGTCTGACTGTTTGAGGCTGTGGACAGGTGTCTTTTATACAGATGATGAGTTCAAACAGGTGCCATTCATACAGGTAACGAGTGGGGGACAGAAAAGCTTCTTACAGAAGATGTTACAGGTCTGTGAGAGCCAGAGATTTTCCTTGTTTGAGGTGACCAAATACTTATTTTCCACCCTAATTTACGAATAAATTCTTTACAAATCCTACCATGTGGATTCATGGATTTTTTTTTCACATTCTGTCTCTCACAGTTGAAGTGTACCTCTGGTGCAAATTACTGACCTCTGTCATCATTTTAAGTGGGGGAACTTGCACAATCGGTGGCTGACTAAATAGTTTTTTGCCCCACTGTAAAAGATGGAGATAGTACTGTGCCATCACCCATTGGTTTTTGGACCCTACAGTTTTAAGACTTTGTTTTATTGTAGCCAGAACTTACCCTTCTGAAACACTGGTTGGAGTGAGATCAGCAAGGTTCAATAGCAATACATTCATTGAAAATATGAGTTTAATGCAGAGGCACCCAAGTCTGCCAATTAGTGCGAAGTAACAATGTAGCAAAATGCAAGTGTTTCATTCAATAAAAGTGAAGCATAAACTTCTTGTACAGGCTTTACTACTCAGCAAGCCATTTTATTTTTTTTTAAGAAAGTTTCCATTAAAAATCCTCTAAAGGGTCCCATCACAATCATCACAGAGGTCCAGTTCAATGACCCATGGACCTACAGCTGTGTGTTAGCAACTTATCAATTAAAGGAGGTACACCCATAAATTTGAGTCCTAATTGTGTCTGTGCTACTATGCTATAAACAGACTTTTTTTCCCATGGGAGTCTGTGAGGGCTGACTTGAATAGGAAGGCAGCTTCAAGTGAAGACTCAAACAACTGCAGATTTTGGCGCTTTTCTGTTGGCCTCATCTTTTTGTGCCACAGGTTGCTATTTTGTCTTAAGTGAGGATGGGGATGAAATTCTGGGACTGTAATCTGTAAATCCACAAAGTGTTTGGTTTTCTAAATTTGTCAATCGTATGCAGTACTTTGGATGCTATGGCAACCATCCAGCTGTTTCAGCTTCCCTACTGATGTCATCCACACGTTTACATGGTTATGCCACTTGAGCCTTGAAAGACAAGACAAGCTTTTACACTTACAAATGTTACATTATCATTATTTTGCAACTCTACTGAGACTTTTCCTCCCCTTTTCATAAGCTTTTTCATTATGTATTGAGTCTGGAGTAGTAAGATTTCATTTGTTATATGGTTTAATATGAGTTGAAATGAGAAGTCCAAACACGCTGTCATGTTTTTATCTCTTTAACACAATTTCTAATTACTGTAAATGCGCTTCATGCTGATTCACTTTTCAAGTATTGTTTCATAGAGTTATATGACATTGTGAGAGTTCTCAGGTTATTTTCCCGGGCTATGTGTGGGTATCGATACTATCTTCTTCAGCTGAGGTGTGTAAATCTCCTGTCATCTGACTCACAGGTGGAACTATTAAGGGACTAATAGTGGGACTATTTCCTGTGTTTTGATTTCCTGTTTAGAGTGTTGCACAAATTTTAAATCCACAGTATTCCCTGATCAGGATAGTTTAAGGATTAAATGTAATCCCAGGAAGTTGATTCTCTTCACGCGGACGCAGCATTTTCAGTTGCAGAAACGTTTTGCCAAGTGACCTCTTCAGTCTCAGCTGACTGCAGGTTTTCCCAACCTGACCAACAGTATATTTGCAAAATGACTGAAACTAGCAGACTGACTAACAATGGGCCGTGAGCTCAGTGAAACTGAAACTGTCATGATGTCCAAAACATCATGACCACTGATCAATGGCCATGAGTGCCATTCACAGAGTTGGGGAATGGCTGTAGTTCCAGCATTGTAAGATGGTGAACTCAACTGAACTCTTTCAGGAATGGTTGTTCTCTTTTCATGTTTTAGCATCTTACAATGCTGCACACCCATTCCCTTCATGACATTTTGTATATTAATGATCATGAAACAGAACTCACAGCCCATTAGTAGGCAATGGTGTTCGTTTTGGTCATTATGCCAATATACTTTTTTTTATAAGGCTGGAGAAAGCTGCAGTCAGCTGCGACTGAAGAAGCCTCTTGGATGAGTGACGAAATGGTTTCGCCACTGAAACTGCGGCGTCCAGATGAGCAGAATCAATTTTCTGTGATTTCCTTACCTGGATGATTGAGTGTGAATCAAGACCTTGGCTGTAATATTGTGTCTTTAGTTTAGGCTATAACCTTCAAGCCCCTTCTCACACATGTACGATACCTGCGTATGCAAACACCTCACATGATCATGTAAAGTTATGCCAGGTACTTGTTTCAGTAAGCATAAGAGGTACCCAAGATATGTGTTTGATTAGTCTATGTTAATGTATGTCCCAGTTAGAGTACATAAATAACATGCTCCTCATATGAAGCAGCTCTCTTGCTCAAATCCTTGATCATCATGGCACAGACTCTTGGTCAGCATTTGCTTTCTTACAGCTAACAAGCAAAAGAAAAACACCCTTTTCTGGAAAATAAAAACAACTCCTTTTTTGGATTAGGCTCATCTAAAAAATGTGGAAAATACTCTTGTTGTTTTTTTTACAGCTGATTATTTTGATAAAAGAAGGGCAATTTGAGCCTTTGTTACCTTTGAGAACCATGATAAAACTATTAATTTGACAGTAATGTCTATTAAATTTAAGGTTGTTTGGTATAAAGTTGGCATATTTTTAAAAAGACGTGTGGCTCTGTGTAGACATTTATCCATGTAATAGTAAAGGACAAAAAGGCACAGTTTAGATCACCTCGCCTGCATGTCCTGTAGCCGCCTTTCCACCACCTTGTTCCACCCTTCTGTCTGGTTAGGGGAGCACTGAGCGACACTTTTACTGACAATGTATTTGACTTTGAATCTGAGGCTTTTATCTGTTGTCTAGCCTCACCTAACCAACACAGATCTGCTTTTTTTGTCAAGTGAGTCAAAAAAAATTGCTTGTCCAAATAGGTGGTCATGAAAAGTGATTCAGCAAAGTAGGAAGGAGGGAGGAACACACGCACTCAGACAAAAAACACACACACACACCAGTGCATGTCCGGACGTCAACAGCACTCTGAGGGTGTCTCTGTGGCTTCATAGACAGAGATGAATAAAGCATCACAGCATACAATCCATTTAATTCTCACACAGACGCACGCAAATGCACAAATATAAATAGACAAAATTTCACATCCGAGCCTTTCTTCCTCTAACCCATGCAAACACTTACGTCAGCGGGTTAAATTATTCCTTGAAATATTTCACTGATGCTGTCCCATCAATGGGCATACATGCACATGCACATGCACACATGCACATGTACAGACAGGAGCTATTAATGGTTTTCCTGTTTTGCAGCTGTTACTTTGAGGACTGAACTGTCGATGAGACAAAACAACTTTTAATAGAGTAACTTCACTTTACTTTTTAATTTAGTCAGTTCAAACTATAAAGTCAAACTATAGCTTAGTCTCATACCTCAACTTAATTTAAATAAATTTTTCTTTTCTCTTTTTTCTTTTTTCCAAAACAGGAGATGTTCACGAACAAGTTGAATCAGACGTGATAACAAACTGTTCCTCACTTTGTCTTCACAGTTAATGGATGACGGTAAACACACACACACACACACACACACACACACACACACACACACACACACATGTTTGCATATGTCAGGAATACACAATTTCACAAGTAAATTCTCACTCGTACTGATGCTTTTGTACAGTTACTGACTCACTCTCACACTCTCTCTTCTACTTGATCTCTCGTCATCATCCCTCTCACTGCACGCACACACACACACACACACACACACACACACACACACACACACACACACACACACATTTATTAATAAATCTGCTGAAGTACTATCTTGTTTATTTTTTCCCAACATGTAACGTAGTCTAAAACAGTAACAGTGAACAAGCGGACTTTTAACATTATCATTCATTCATGAACACAGGTATGCACAAATAACCATGTTTAAAAAAGAACTAAATATTATCATTTGCTTTTAATCATAAATAATTAAATATCTTATTTTAATTAAATCACACTGTCATATTATTTCAGTCAGTATTTATTTGGTTTTGTAACAAGGGGCGATGAAATTATTATTTAAATTATTTTTTTAGTGATTATCATATAAAAAATAAATAAATAAAATTTAACCGTGTTCTAACTACCAAATAACATTATTTTGGAATTTGTGGAAAAAGCAATTTAGGTCTGATGCAACTTAAAGAAGCAGCATGTGAGTGTGAAGAGAAACACTAATCAGAGAGTTTTACAATAATGCAGATGTTAAACCATTTTGTGAAAGTGGTGATCCCTTATAGCTTACAGCTTTGAAAAATTCAAAGATTTAATTTTTATGAAATTAAAAGTTAAATAAAAGTGTTTGAGGTAAGGATAAGAAAAAAGATTAAGCAGTGTGTGTGCGTGTGTGTGTGTGTATGTGTGTGTGTGTTTGTGGCTGAAGGTGGGGGTGGATCATTTTAAACCACATGTAGCCAAATAAATACGCTTTTTAAAATGTATGCTTGTATTTTCTCATAACTATAACTTCTCTTCTTACAAACAAGAAAGCACAGATGCAGACAAACATGGCAAAATATGTAGCTGCTGTTTTATTGTTTAATCTTTCTATTAATAACAACTCATCCAGAAACTACAGTCCTTTCATCAACTGTTTCAGATCCATTGTATTGTAATTCATGTGTTGTCTGATGTATTTAACATTTTGAATGTGAGTTTACTTATATACTGAGTCCACATGAGGCCTTTTCCTTCAGAGACTACAAAATTATATTTGCCTCAAAAAACACTATCAGTAGCTACAGCAACACACAGAATATTTCATTAAAACTCCCTCACTGACACTTGCAACAAAAATTAGAGGCTCCTGACTGAGTTTTCTTCTGGGTACATTTTATCTCAAAACTTAAAGGACTAATGCATAAAAACAACATATGACTTTTTCTTATAGTTATAATGGTTCTAAAAAATATTTGGGAAGAGAAAAAAAAACAGAACTAGAAATTGCTGCAATTTTTTAACATTTAAGACATTTTGAACTTTGCCTTTTCATGGGTTTTACCACGTGTGCACCACGTATCAAAATGTATAATTAGTCAAGGTAAACCTAGAAGAAAATATAGAACTTTAAGGTGAATTTATTAGCAGCAAATCTTAATCTTTGATTTTAAGTTTTGTTTGGGCAGGATAATTTCTGCTCTTGTAGCAGGTTATGTCCTCCATTACTGTAAATGTTGTTTTGTGGGACACATTATTTTTTCAGTAGTAGGCCCAAGAGCAGACAACAGAGACAGTTAATATACATTCAAGATTTATTGGAAATTCACTTACCTGCCACCGCACAGATGTAACCAGCATTATTTGTTCTGGAGGTATAAGTTCAGCTGGAACAATGTGAAAGATTTTAAAAGCCATTAGTGTCATATCAGGAAACAAAGGCCACAGGCCTTAGCCAAACAAATTTAGGATCAATTCTTGTAAAATTTTTATAAATAATATGTCTGAACGACATAAAAATATTATTCTCTGAAACATTCAATTTGAAATAATTCACAGTCTAACTTTAAATGAGGCCTCGACTAAAGTTCAATCAAAGCCTAAAAATTATGTGCATTGAAATCCTATGGAGCTAAAGAATGAGGCACCACGAGGCTCACTGATCGCTACCTCTCAAAATGTTCCTGTCTTGAGCCTCTTGAGGAACGTGTTAACATATAAGAGGTACAGGTTAATGTTACTAGAAGCAGCAAAGTAAATATATGGGAAAAATAATTTTGAGAAAAGTATTGTTTTAAGGAGGACTTGACCTTTTCACTCAGATAATAACACAAGACCTTACTGCAATACAATGATTTCAGTATATTTAAATGTTTTCTTTATTCTAAACATTTAGAGTTAATACAGATTGGTTTGTGTTTTATGTAGAAGACTGTAATTGCAATCTAGAAGAAGACTCACCGTTAGACTGAAGGAATTTAGAGGATTTAGAGAAAAGGGTAACTGTGCACACACTGTGGGGTGAATATTGAGACATACACCTAGACTGACTATGAAATGTAACATCTTCAAGGTCACTTGTGTAAAGTCGCAGTTAAAACCAAAAATATATTTTTCAGTTTTACAATAGTTTTATTGAAATTACTTACATTTTTAATAAACTTTGAGAATGACCGATTGCATAGTGGCAAATACATATACAGGCACACACACACACAAAAACACACACACATAAATCAGTTTATAAATTTTGTTAATAAATTTATTTAGTAAACACAAGTAGTAACTAGTAACAGAAATGAAGGTTTAGATAAGCAGTTCATGAAGGTTCTCACTAAATTTAGACTCACCCACTGAGGGGAAAATTGCATTATTCAATTACTGCGTGTATCTAAACGGTAGACAGAAAAGTGGTCAACAGGAGACCAAATAAGAGTAGTTATAGCAGCAAATTATATGTGAACCTAACTCCAGCTTCCTGCGTACACTTTACAGATTTGCCCATTAAAGACAGCCGTTTTTACAGGAAAATCTGAAAAACAAACTGGTTTTTTTTCCTTTTTTGCTCTGAAACAGCATGCTATTTGAAGTTTATGCAGTCACCTTTGAAAGAGTTTTATAACCACAGAGGTCAACAAGGATTCTCGGTTCAAAACCAGCAGTAAACATTAAAACATGGTTGTGTTGTCCACAGGGAAGAGTAAAACTTAAATCTACACGATGTAGTTCTTCTCACAGCCAGGTATGCATACACTCATTACAGCTTGAAAGAGAAAGAAATACAAAAATATTGTCACATTTTACACCAAGCTTTTTTGATTAAATGATTTTTTGCACAGAATGTTACAATTACCTCACTAATAGACATTTATTTGTGTATAAAAACAACATAATTTTGATTGAAAATCATTAAAAAAAAAAGCTTGAGCTGATAAACTGCATCACAGTTTCACTAAGCCTAGAGCAAACAAGCAGTGAGTCAGCATAGGAAATAATGGTGTAAGTAATATAAATTAAAATATATTTTTTAAAAAACCCAACTCTTTTCAACTTATCGGATCTTTATAACATATGAGGATCATAGTACGAGCAGTGTGACTTGAATTGTCCAGACATGTACAGTATTCTTAATCTGCTGTCTTAATTTGCCATTAGGATGTGAGTCAGACAATATCAGGAAGATTTAAGGTCTTACTTCAGGAAAAAGGGGCTGGGAATTTGATCTTCAAGATCATCATTACTCCTTTTAGTCATTTTAGCTAAAATGCATAACTAAAATCAGTATAATTTTATTTAGTCTAAGTTGTAAGGAAGTTAATGGATCAAATCTATTTTTTTTTTTCACAGTTTGCTCTCATACCTATACTGTTGATGGTCTGCAATAGCAATTTAACATATATTTGGAATTTGATTCTTGGATGGGTCTAAGGTGCACACAAGCAAAGAAGAAATCAACAGTGTCACCAAAAACTCATTAAAATCTTTACAGGTTCCTACAAAAGTTCAGCTTACAGATCATAGCAATGAGACAAGAACATAAAAAGCACTGCACGTACTTCTACACTATGAAAGAAAATGCAGAAATGATTCTGTAAGTATACAGATGATCTTTTCTCAGCCTGAGATGACTCAGACAAAACTAAATAACTTTTTTCTTTCTCTCTGTAACAAGCCTGTACAATCTTAAACTGTGTCCACATACTATGTGCGGATGCCTCTGATCTGGAGCTGCCTGTTTTTTGTTTGTTTTTCTTATTGTTCTTTTAAGAGGAAGCTACTTGTGGATGTTGTGGGCACATATTTCCTTTGATTTTACTCACGAGTGCATATTGTGTTAAACTGTACAAAGTGTCCAAAATGTGCTTCTTGGGTATTCGTCACATTGTCAGGACACTTTAATTGATAAAGAGTCAAAATGGCGCATTTAAAATAGCGCAAACATCTTGGTGGCCATGTTTACTATTTCCTCTAGTTTAAGATAAAAATCTATTAGTAAAACATATAATTTCTTTTAGTTGGTTAACAACAGTGCTGACCCTAATCCAACAGTCCACACTGGCTGCTATATTGTTTATGGGATGTGTTAGAAATTAAACTTTATACTTTAAATTTGAAGCTCGGACAGGATTAAGATGAAAGCAGACAAGAAGGAAAACGACAATGGGACAAAGTTATACTTGCAAAGCCTAAAAATGTTTTGAGATTCTAATAAAAAGTTCATGTCACAGATCAAAACAAGAGAAAATGTATATGCTGGACAATGTATTTTTTAAAATAAACGAGTACAAATGCATACAGTTGAGTACAAATAATCTTACAAATAATTTTACTTAGAAAAGGCAATTTTCCTTCACTTCTATAGCTTCGTCACTTTGGTGGAAAGTACAATTATGTTCACTTGCTCCGCTTTTCCTGTTATTTTCATTTCAAGAGGTCAGAGCTAAGCTTGTAAACTAACGAGTTTTAATGGACTCTTGTGTGCTTAGAGACTTCTGAGTGGTTTTGTCTGCTTACTTGGAAAAAGAGTTCTTTGCTTTTATTGACAGGTAACATTCAGTCGTTCAGTG